AAATTAATGTTTGTGTTTGGATTCTACAGATAAACTCTACCATATAATTACTAACCTGCAAGGGATATTCATTCAAGTGGGATTGATTTTGAAGTGTATAAGTACCAATTAATCTATCCTCTTAGAATATATTTAAACTTATTCATAATATAATTTTGGACCTATATATTTATAAATAACCATTTTTATTAACTACAATGTTTTAAATATAAATTATTATTCATTGTACTTTGAGGTTGTGCAATAATTGTAAATCCTTATAGTCTATCAGTTTTATATTTTATTTTATACTTAGATATATTTAACTATTTTAATTTCAACCATGACTGATTTTATAATACAATTACTTTCAATTATTTTATTTAATTTTAATCAGTTATTTCTTGCTTGAAATAAAATAATTGATTTAGAATTTTTGTACATTGATGTTGATTGAGACTTATTAAATATATATAGTATATAAATTATTTATTCACTTTTTGGTTTAATCTAAGTGTTATTAATATATTTTAGTTGATTTCATTGTTTATATTTCTTTTTAGAAATTGTAGTATATGTTGCAAAATTAAAATGTAATTAACATTATTCTAACTATAAAATAATAATGTACTTTTTTTTCACGATACACTAATTGTTTTCTATGTGTTAAACATTTTTTTTATAGGTGATAGATCTTCTGTAAGTTAAATATACATTATAGTTTTGCTAGTCTCTTGGTGTAAATACTACTGGTAACATATAATTTTTATCCTATAATTTAATAATATGTATTAGGTAGATTGTATGAGTTTATGCTGGTAAAATAAACTCTTTTTTCTAGTATATGGTTTATAGAATCTATCAGTATTAAATCAATAACAGTAGTTTTGTACCTATGAAAAAGTATATTGTATCATAAATCTTAATTTAGTAGATAGTTTTTATAGTAGCTATTAGTTTTTGAATTGATTTCAATTTATATTATTTTTAAAAACTATTGTTTTATTTATTATTATTAACTTTATAAAATTTTTATATTTTTTACAATAAATTTATTTTGTTTTTCTGGTATTTAAAAGCTCTATATTGTTGTCCAATGGATATTTAACAAAACTGTTTTTATGTATTCATATGATATATTATAATTGTGCTTCACTGTATAATGAGCCATAACTGTGAATGACTATTTAAATTTTGCTTAAGTTTCATCCTAATATGATTAAAAAGAAAAATACTTTTTTTAAATAGTAATCATTAGTTTGTAACATTTTATAAGGCATAATATTTTTTGTTTCAAAATTGTCTCAATATTAATGTTTCATGTTTAATAACTATTGACAGTTATTGTCTCTTTATTTGAAAAAATATTTATTTTATATCGTATGATATTTTGGTCAAATGTTGCCTTTCGTATTTATTTATATATTGGATTAATATATAAACTAATGACTACAATTGTTTTGATTTTTTTCTACAATTTACCAATTCTAAAAAAAAAAAAATCCTTTGTAATACTATTAATAACTTATTGTTTCTCTTTGTTTGCTATTGTACTAAAAATTAATAAATAAATGGACATTTTTTTTATTATGGCGGACGAGGGGTCTTTGCAACCATCTTCATGTTCTACACAAACTTGAAAATTAAATTTTCTTTATGTACGATACTAATATTTTTTAAAAATATTCAATATGAACAATAATTCAAAAAATTATACTTAATATCTTTAAATTTGAATTACCGAGTACATATTAAATTTAAATTTAAATATATTTATATATATTTAAAAATATTTGTATAGTAATTATTCAATAAATAAGTTCCTGGTGTAAATAACTAACAATAAACAAATAGCAAACAAAGAAAAATGGACTTTAGCATTTAACTTAAAAATATATAATGTATTAAATGATAATATTTGGTATATATTTTAGGAGATTATTTGGCGCATAGAAACTGATTTAAATAAAACCTAGCAGCGTTTCACACAGTCCTCAGATCGTCAATATATAAAATTAATGAAAATAAGTGTGGTTACATTAGTAGCAACAGCATGTAACAAATGTCATCGACTCGCCACACAAAGAAATAAAGTAAGATTTCAAAGCTGTTTTATTTCAATCGTAATATACAAATAGTTAATTTTTATTATATTTTTGAGGAAGGATTGTGATTTTGATAAATTGTTATTTTAACAATGATATATAATCATGTATATTCAGTATTCTTATTATATTAACTATACGTAAGAGTAAATCTATTTAGTAAACAAAAATAATTACTAGTACTGTCAAACGTATGGCTCTAAAATTTAAATATTAAAATATGTAAGCGAATACAAAATAATGTAAGCCTGTAAAATAAAACGTGTATATTACTATTGACAATAAATCTAAATAAGTATAGGTACGTAAATAAAAAAAAAAAATACAACAAAAGTAATGACTTAGAAAATATTTAATATGATGCACATTGACAACCCTACATGGTATATTTTATATTGCCTAATGTTTCTAATATTAAAATGTAACTAGCCAAAAACGTTAATTTAAATGTCATTGAAATATTTAAAACTAAGTTGTACATGAATTTAACTCTTAGGTGTAACTAAACATCAAATTTACGTTTGATTTTAAAAATGAAATGTATTAATGAGTTTAAATAAACATTAAACTGATCTTAAAAATAAAACAGATTTGGACTTTATAATTGAAAAAAATTTAAAAAATTTATTTTTTATTTTCTTGATTATAACGTTGTTCGGCTTGTAAAATATATGCTTTGACTTCTTTTTCGATTTCGTTGAAGCTGTTTTCGTACTGGGGCTGACCGATTAGTGATTCTGAAAATTAATATTTAAAATAAAATCGTATGTCTTATATATTTAAAGTCAACATTTTACATTGTATTAAACATAAAGACAACTTACCAAATACAATATCACTAAGGTTCAATTCGTAGAAGTTTTTAGGAATTGATTCTACTCTTCCGTTGTGATACGAATATGTTTTTAGGAGTACGTCATCAATCAGGGTTCTCATTATAATCTCGACCGACACTTTCAATTTATCACTTTTTACTTCTGACATAATATCAATCTAAGAAAATACAAAAATATTAATAAATATTTTGTTAAATAGTTTTAAGCAAATCTAGAATTTAAATAAAATTAACATATATTTAAAGCAGTCTCTATAGTATGTATTATATAATAGGTTTTATACTGTTATTCGTTCCTACATTAAAACACTAAACTGATTGTTTTGTAATATCAGCATGATTAATTATTTAAAATCTCGATTTATAATATTAATTAACATTAACATTACTATTAACATTCATATGTTAGCCTAAAACGTAGGGAATGGCTTTAATTGTGTGTAAGAAAATTGATTTAGGTTCAATTAGATTATTATTTATAGTGAAAAAAATTTAAAAATATATTAACAACACTTTGAAAGATAATTCAAAGTACATTTTAAAATTAATTAGTTTAAAAAACGTAATCGTTTGTTTGACGTTTTAACCAACATGAATATATTTGAGACTTAAGATTAGTTGTTAAAAAAGTAAATGAGAAATTTACTATTATAATAATGATAACCATACTATTGGTATTGGTGTGTTAATAAACTTTGACCCCACTTCCGTTCATACAATTATACAAATATTATCTCTCCGACTTTTTTGTTTTGTTGTTACCAAATGCTTTTTATAAAATTAATTTTTAATTTTTAGTTAAAAAATAGTGATTAATTGCTTACTATATATGCGTTATATAAATAAAAATTAGTTTGTTCAATAAACAAAACTGGGATATGCATTCGGCAGAATGTCTATTTTCAGGAACTCCTTTGCAGCATAAAATGTTATAATTTAAAAATATACTTGCCAAAAAATATAATACAAAAATAGAATATAATTGTCGGTTTGATTGTAATTTATTATTTTACTCTCATAAATATAATGTAAATATTATTAGAACATCAAAATTGTGTTGTAACAATTACAATAAAAATACGTACAATTGAGTCAGGGGTTTATTAGGAAAATGGTTATAAATTAAATTGTCAATGTCGCATAAAAATAAGAAATATCATTTTTATCGTTTTATCTTTTCATGTAGGTATTTATCAATTTTTTAACGTCACTAATGAAGATTTTTCAATTTAATTTCACAGAATAGTTCAAAATACTTCACTGAAGTTTATCGATATATTTTTTATCTATGTTTTAAATAAAATAGGGAAATTAAATGCCATATATGTATTTTGAATATATTTTGTATTTTGGCTCTAAGTAAAATAAATTCCCTTGTATTCCCTAATTTCAATTGTTTTTTTTTGTCCTTTAAAACGTTAAGTTTAATATATATATAATAAACCCTATTACAGAATTTATCAAACTTTTTTACCCATCTTGGAGTATTTGAAATTTTATTACGTAGGTATTAATGATATTATTATTATACTTTAAACTAGTTTGTATTGAAAGGAAGAGAATATTAATGAAAATAAATCTTTGACACTTAGAAAAAGTCGAATAATATTAAATTAGTGAAATATAAATGTGTTCTGGCTGCATGAGTAAATTTGCATGGTGAAATAATATTTTTACTAAATAGTTAATGTTGTTCATAACTCGTCACCCCCTTGTAACTTATAATAGTATTAATAGTATTAAAGAAGAACATTTCAATCGGTAAATATGCTTTGTGAAAAAAAAAATATATACTTTTGTTTAATAAAATCTAATAGAATTGTCTTGTATGACCAGAATTAAAAGTGGCAAAAAAAACAAAGGTACCCTAATCCATGTATCATTATCAGTGTTCCATATAATCCCATTCAATTACTAGGGAATCAATTATACATATATATACAGGCAGGGGTGTATTGATACGTATACGTGGGTATACGTTGTTTTTGATTTTTAGCGTATATCTATTGTTAAATACTATTTTACGGGTATATGCTTCTAAAATAATTCGAAAACTAAAAAAAAATAAATAATTTAATAGTTCATTGGAAAAAATTGTTATAAACTATGAAGTTTGAATAAAATATTTATCTGTTGAACATTACAATGTACGTTGTGTTAATGTATTTTAAGTTCAACTTAGTAAGTAACTTTTTGAAAAATAGATGTTATTAAATTTAATTTGAAGTATGGATATTCAGCCTATGGTTCTTAAATCTGTATCATATAATATATAACGTGCAATAAATATACTTTGTGGTATTGTATTTTATAGTCTTATTAGAAGTTGTAAACATATAAGGGGTTTTAATTAATTTATTGGAACGTAGTTGAAAAATATTGTCGAGTGTAGTGGAAACATTTTTTTTAAGATTAATATCCATATTTTTTTAGTGCATGTACCCATAAATATATTTACCATTACACCACTGTAAATAGGTATAAATAATATGAGGTGTTGTTAGTGAACAATTTCTTCCATAAGCTATTCATGTACTATAAAAATGTAATAACTTGTAAATTACATATTGTTTTAAATAACATATTGTATATTTTAATAAAAGAAAAAAAATTAAAAAAACATATATATTACTAAATAATTTATATTTAATTTTAAGTTAGTTTACATTAGTTACTAACATAAACTAAATAGCGAAGCCAATTTTTAAACTGTTTTTTTTGTATATGATTTTTAACAAACAGTTGAGAATTTTAGTAAACTTTTTTGTAGAAATGTTAAAGAGAACAGTTTATGAGCGTTGTGAGTGGTATGGTGACTTAGTCCCTTTGCGTCCCCCCACTTTAAGTTTTGCGTATTACAATAGAAAAAACCAACTTACCACAAGATTTTTGTAGCGATGATCAGTTTGGATATGAGTTTCGATCAAATTGAGATTGACCTCGTTAACAATTGGAAAATGGCTGTTCAAAAATTCATAGAAAGATTGATATTCTTCGTCGATAAGCTCATCGTCGCTTTCGTCGGAGTCCATCACTATATCAGCGACTGAAGGAGCCATCGTTTGGTTTCGTTGTTTGATGAAAATGTTTCTAAAAAGATCATGGAAAAATAATTGTTTAAGTATTTTATTTATTCGATTTAATAATATCATAGATGAATTTGTGCTTAGAGCACTGTATAATTCTTATTACATGATATACAACAAAGAATTCGCGATTGAATATTTATAACACTGCCTTTTTTTTAAGAAACCCTGCTTGCATTTAATTTTTTTATTTTTCTTTGAAAATATAATGGGCCTTTAATAATATAACCATTAATCATATTTATATGGAGGTCTATGAGTTTACATGTAATTATAATACATAGATATTTTTATAAAATATTTAATATGCATTATCGATTAAGTTATTTACCTAATATTGATTTTTTATAATTTTTTTTTAAATATAATTAGACGATCAATGATTATACATAAGGACATGTTAGCAAAACCATTAAACTGTATAAACTATTATAAAAGGTAATTGATCGAACATCGAACAATAAGACGAAAGTGTGAACGTTTCATCAAAGACCTTATTTTTTTATTGAATCCATTTAATTAAATAAAATGCGTCTACAATACACATGTATATTGGAATGACTAATCAAAAGTAATTCAAATTTTTTAATGTCTGTCGATTAATGTGTAATTAAGTAGACAAATAAATACAAAACGTAAGGCGTGGTGACTGTTAAGCAATGCGATGTGAATATTATTGTTTAATAAAAACTAGGATCAACTAAACATTTACGGATAATAGAATAATATTCGTTTTAACCAGATAAAATTTATCTTTAAAACGAATAAAATTAATGTCATTGAAAAATAATATATATATATATATATATATATATATGTGTGTAAAGAAATATATATTTTTAAGTAGGTTTTGGAGGAAAAACAATTATTATGTGCATTTTAGCCTCCTCATACTGAAAATTATTAATTATGTTTTACATTATTTATTCTCACAATGTTAGATTTAAATTTTTTACTAATGTTAATATTTTTTGTTGTTCCTAACTTATTTTATTGTCAATTTTCTCATTTTAATATATATTAAAAAGGTTAAGAAGATTTAAAATTGATAATTTCTTTATTAGAACCTGCGAGTTTAATCGTATGCTTAGATGATAATATATTAGTTTTCTGAAGTTATTATAAAAATTAATAGTTTGATTCAATAAAAATAAATTATTTTATACAAGTTATTATTTATTTATTATTATTAATATGTCATATAAATAAATTCACAAAATATTTGTTTATTTATTTGTATATTAATTTATAATTTAGCGTTTAATATTTTTTAATTTTAATTACATTTTTTATTATTTTACTATTTATTAATAGTATTTTCCTCGGCACCGTATTAAACGTATATAATAATCTTCCCATGTCGGAATATTTATAATGCCAAAAACGTGCTTCGGACGACTGTAGTGCGTTGTTATCACATCCTATTCTAGAAATCTCGAAGCCGTGACGATTGCAACATGTGTTTCTTTATTTCGTTAAAAGTATCTATACCCGTAGATAACAGCTATTCTGTGTCGTCTGCAGACGTGAAGAGACCAAACATCGCGTGACGAAAGAAATAGGTGAACGTTGGAAATAATTGAACGCAACAAATAGTGTTGGTGGACAGTGGCGTATTTTTAAATTTTTTTGTGGGGCGAGGAGGTTTAAATTGTTGTAAAAAACTAAGTGATCTTATAATAAAAAATACTTAAAAGGTTTGAATTAATAATTATATAATTCTATAATAATAATTAATATATTAATGTTCTCTTTTCCCGTACCTTCATAAAAAGTAATTTATGAATATTTTTCTTCATTTTGTGGGGAGGGGCGAGACCCGAGGGAATCTCCCCCCTTCGCGTGGACGAGTCTCAAAGAATTCGTCATTGCGACACGACGACGACGTTATCGATAATAATAATAATAATAATACTTATAATACTAATACTAATAATATTAATAATACTAATAATAATAGTAATAATAATAACAATTACAACAAAGAAATAGGTTTTTACGTACCAGGTGGTTAGACGGTGACTGCTGCGGTGCGCCTGGAACGTGGAACGAAACAAGACAACAAGTGATGTGGTACGTCGTTGATGCGCGGACTGGCTACGACTGACTGGCACGGCTGCGGTGGTCGCGCCGGTTGCGATGTGGACGACATCCGTCGTCGCGGGCAATACGGGTTTTTTCCATTTCCTACGCGTTCATTGTTTCGCGGTGCAGCTGCGCACCGACCGTGTCACGCGTCGGCGCCACGCACCAATACCAACCGAACGCACGCGGAGTGCATCTCCACACATGGAGGGAGGGGCGCGTCATCATCCCTCTTCGTCGTGTCGTTCAAACCGTCTGTCGCTTTCACCCACCACAATGCGTTCTCCCCACCCCGATCACTTTTTATCTTACCGACGTATGAGTCTTCACCCCCGGTAGTCCCGGACACACACCACCGAGAGTTTCGTGTAACCCCTCGCCCGCTCTGCCACACGAACTGTCAGTGTCCGACCTACCCCGCTGTGGTCCCGCGTACTCGTATACTGCATGCATATGACGGCTGATAATGTAAATTTGTGCAATACAAATGTATAAAATCTTTTTATGCACGGTGCATAAAATTATTTCATACCGTGGTGTTATGTTTGTATATCATTTTTTTTACTCTCGCCGAATGAGAAAACAAAAAATATTTTGTATTGTGTTTATTAAAATTGTTATAAACTACTTATTCACTTCATAAGTAATCCATTGTTACTATTGATTTAAATTTTTATCATTAAAATCTAATATTTTCAAATGGAAAAAGGACATTAGTCGATTAATCAAGTCTAAGATCAAATCTGCTCATCTTTTATTACAGGACTTAGATTTTCATAAAGTTTGTATAACACGGTATAATATAAAAATATATCGTGCCATGCTTAAATGCACACAGTATTATATAAAATGTAATACACATATAATATAAAGAGTAAAATACAAAAAAATAATAAAATATCGTATTCTTCAAAGGCGTATTTATGGGTAAGGCTGAGAAGGGCTCATCCCCTCGAAATTTCAAAAAAAAAATTAAGTCAACATTTACTCTATAAAATATAAATTGTAAAAACTCCATATCATCATTGTTTTATGAATTATTAGTTTTAAATTGTTCATGTTATACAGTATACCAATTAATTTTCTATTATTATGTAAGTATTTTATTTCTTTAATTTTGTAGAAAAGAGTTATGTTTATGTAATAAAAATAAAAATTGTTTACTACAATTCTAAGTTTTGTTTTTAATTGATTGAATAGTAAAATGTTGTCTATAAGAAGTTTCCCCTCCTAAAAAAAAAATATTTAAATACCCTCTTAGTTTCTTACATGGCTACGCCGCGACACGTGTCTCGTTCCGGCCGACGACCGAAAATCTGTGCCGCTGCGCCTATATTGTAAAAACGGGTTTGTAGACGTGTAATAGTTTTTTTCTTTCGAACTTTTTCGGGTATTTTATAATTTTATTATGGTATTATTTATACACACTTTCTCTGGCGTCACAACGATACGGTGTAGCGGAAGAAAACTACTCGCTAGCTGGTTTTTTTTTTTATTTATTTACATCGTGAATTAATGTTATACGTTTAGAATATTATTATTAGATATCTTGTGCATTCTATATGAGATTCGATTCTCGAGTGTTTCGAAGATAAACTTGAAAAAATTATTTACGAATTTGTTATAATATTAAAACCGCTACGGATAATTTAAATGAGACAACGGTGGTTTTATGGGTGGTTCAATTCTCATACAAACGAATCTCCGCCAGTCTATCATTACTTTTTTTCTCTACGATTTCAACCGTTGATAACATTTAAGTATGATATTGTAATAGAGATATGAATCATAGAAGTGGCAATAATAAATATACGTTTTTACTATAATATGAATGACATCGTTTTACCATAGTTATAATATTTTATCACTGTTGATTAGTTAATTACCTATGTCACAACTATTCTCGAACAATATTGTATACAAAATAGCATTGGTCTTGATGACAAAAAAAAAAAAAAAAATACGGTTTTTTTGTTTTCACTTTAACACTGCTCAACATTTCACCGGGTCGTCGACAGTTCAAATATTTGTTTCCGAGATATTGGATACACCGAAGTTTCTCAACATTTATGCAATAATGTACTAGGCTTAGCGTTTCTCGTGTCAGGCTAATCATTGCTCCCCGGTGAAATTTCAACGGGGTCTTCTGTACACTGATATTATATAGAATACCGGACGAAATAATAACCATTGTGTAGTTTTCGTTGTGCATTTCTCTCGTGAATTCATCGAATTCTATACAGTCGAGTTGCATTCTACTGATGACCTTCTGAGCATACGTTCGTATACATCAGGGATGGGCAAGTGGTGGACCGTATTCGTCCCGCGTACTTTATTTATCTGGCCGTTTTCAAATTATTTCATAACATTTTAGCGTTAGCCGGTATTTCATAATATTACGCTGATCGCAAAACGCAGACACTATATTGTATTATATTATTTATTTCAGCATAGTTATCATAGCTTTGGATATTAGGAGTTTTACCCGTTTTACTGTACCGGATCAGTCGTAAAATTAAACAAAATTATATAAATTCTGTCTTTTTTAATAAATTTTATTCTTTTCTTATTTATTCGTCAGATTTCAAAGTTCTATAAATTCTAGTTACTTTGATATTATGATTTATCCCTGGTGTGTAACATCGTCAGCCGGCGCGCACGCATAGACCACTGCAACCCTCTGACGTCTCATCGTTGACGGCGGGTTGTTCGTTCGCGAAAGAGGTTGCGGATGTACAGTTCGCCGTTCTGGCGTCTACGTTCTTCTCGTTGACTGCGAGAAATAACTATGCAAATGCTGCAATCTCGCGGCTCCGTAATAACTTTTGCCCCGACAGCTGTAACACGGCGTTGTCGGGGTAAGTTTTTAATGAATCCGTTCGAGACCGGCCTACCGGCGTTTTTCATTGGACATGAGACAACGTAATGATCGACCAGACGTCGTACTCTCGATAGTTACTCCGTACTATAGTAGTATAGTATATGTAGTCAATATATAATCTATATATAGTCAATGGTCACTGTTACGATTCTCATGCACTCGAAAACCCAATCCCCCCTGTTACGAGAAATATAATAAACATTTCGAGGTCTTGGACGTTTTGGCGCTGCAATTTTAAAAAAATTAAGCGTGTCAAGTCACTGTATATATGAAAATAAATAATAAGTCATAATTAATAAAAATAACTTTATTTTATATGAATATATATCTTATTAGCTATAGTAAAAAACTTTATTTATAGATTAAAAAAACCATAAAAAAAAATATATACATTCATATTTATAAAAAAAATTGTATTTTGTAGATCCTAATGAGGCCTAATAATATACAAGTATAATAATGTATAATATATAACACACAAAATCTTCTAAATTAAATTTACAGTTATTTGAAAGAAACGTTATTTGCAAGGCCTTTTAAATATAATAATATATTTGTTTTTCGATAACTCGTAACTAATTTAAAAATTCTTTTATCGGAGTCTACAATTTTTTTTTTTTTTTGGGAGGACTTATCCCGGTTTGTTCATAATAGACGTCTCTTCCAGATTGTATTTTCTAATATTTTGGGTATTTCTAATGATAACAGGTCTAAGGGTGCTGGTGGAGCTGAGTGGACAAGATTTCTTTTCCTTCTTATTTATTTTTTTCAATTCATCATTAGTTGAAATAACGCCCTAAAATTAATAAAATATAAGTATGTATTTTAAAAAAAAGCAATAATAAATGTTTGTTATAAAAGTTATTGATTAGTGTATTATATTGTAATATATATTACCTTTGCAGCTTGTGATAGTCCTAATGTGCATTCATTAATAACACATGATGTTTGCTCCATTTTGGATGATGCTCGTTTTCTAATATTTGTAATGACAATTTCTTTTTCAATTATTGCGGTTTTAGAATCATGGGAATGATTGTTTTGAAATACTTTTAAGACACTTGAATTATCAATATTCGTATGGATCCGGTCTAGACAAGTATTTTTTTGACTGCACCTCCAATATTGTTTTGCTTGTCAGCACTATACTTGTCAAAAGTGTATTTTAATTTTTATTTATTGTACAGTTATCTAATTTGTCGTAATACCTAACTGACTAAGATGAATTCGATTTATTTGTATATTTGCACATCGCGTACCCGCAGCACCAAACCGGTCGTTCATAAATTGTCTTAGAAAAAAGATAGGAGTTATATTTATTATGATAACTTTGGACAAAATACAATTTTATTTAATACTCCTATTATTTATATTTTATGTATACAGGGTGCCGTGGCGCACACAGGATTTTTTTTTTTTTGGGGGGAGTCAAGGTAAAAATATAACACATTTTATAGTTAACAAAATTATGCAAATCCTTAATATATTTTGACTTAAATAATAGCATTGATAATAGAATAGACTACTCTATAATCGATGATAATAGGTATTCAATACTCTAGCTCTTCATATTTCAAACTTGTAAAATTTGTAAATTTTAACCTAGACATCGGAGAAAATTTCGGGAGGGGGGTTACAACCCTTTACCCCCCCCCCTGCGTGTGCCACTAACAGGGTGTCCCATATAAATTTGTCAAATGCACAATTTTTTTTAAGTTGCGGCGCCAAACCGGCTGCTAGCCAAAAAGATCGACGCCAAAAAGATCGGCGCCAAAACGTCCGTGTCCGACATTTCGTATCGGTTGGACGGACGGGATTGTCTCGTTGTCGGCATCCGTCAATTCGATTTCGGCGATCGAACGGCCTCAACGAACAGTTACGTGTCGTATTATTCTCGGGTCGTGTACGTAATAGTACGACGCTAATGCGCTGAAAACGGTTATCGACATTTTTACAATTTCCATTCTCTAGAAGTCGGTACCGATAATGTTATGTTCCGAATGCGACAATGTCATGGTGTACCGGTATATATTATAATCAACACGGTTACATGGTTCGACAATTTTTGAAATAGTACATTCGATTCGTAATTCGTGTCCAATACAATTATTGTTAAACTATATAAGGAAATTTGGCCGGATCAACCTTCAT